ATGCGTTTTGGTAGCTCTTCTTATCTGCATTGGCCAATGAACTTTGGCACAAGCTCCAAGTATTGCGACATTGATATTTTGGCTCCGTACTGGTCGCTGATTGACAGAMAAAATTCGCAAGTTTTCTACCATGTGTATTCGACGCTGGAYAACACTGTAAAATCTAAAAATGTCCTTGATCAAGCAACTTCCGAGGTTCAACATCTAAAGCATTACCAATTACCATCCAACTTTAAAGCTTCATGGRTCTTAGTTGTAACATGGGATAAACTTCGTTACTCTACACTCAATGCTGATAAATACAATTTGGTGAGTACAAAGAACATTCGATGGTATCAAATGATCAYAAAGCAAAAAGTACTATTTGCTACTTCAGGAACAATAAACCTTCCTTATATTTTGCAACACTATTAAGTGATTGATATTTAGACAATTAAAATTCAAATGAACTCAATTGTTCTTCAAATTATAGAATAATACTTTCCAAGCGGTTCTGATAACAGACGGTGTGTTTTCATTCGCTATGTACAACTATCCCTCAAACGGAATTCAGTGGTCAGCTCCAACGTCAAGGTTAGAATAATTTTTACAGTCTTTTCTTCGTTTCAAGGTACATCACAGCGACCATCTTGGAGGATCTTAAACAAAGTATTTCTCATTAGTTTGTTCATTCCTCCAAAATGGCCGCCGCTCTTTTATCTTTTACACCTCATGGAATGTTTGAAAAAGATCTAATTCTAATTTTATTCATGGCCGTTTTGTGTGGTGTTCAACCTTGTTACTTCTATATTGYTGGTCGTTTTSCATTCAATTTGCTTTTTCGTTTACTTTGTGATTTTTCGTTTATTACAATTTTTTTCGTATTTTAGGCAAAATTGGAAGCTCTTTACAAAAGATCGGGGGCTTCCGGTTGTTGGYTGGAATGCAGCAGGATGCATCAYTAAARRCARAATCCAGACACCTCTGAATTATTTCAGCGACAAAAGGTTAGTCCATACTGATAATTCTGCTCGTTGTTTCATATTACTTCATAATTATATGGAATATATTATCATTAGATCTGGGACGGTTAATATTGGAGATATTGACGATTTTAAAGGTGAGAGCGTGTACAGGAGTCGCCGCCAGATAGACTCAGACTCAAATGGTATTCAAGGAAAATGGTTCTTTGAATTATACATDCCATGGGGAGTTTCTAAGGSCGAGAGGAATTGCAAAAGGTGGTTTAAAAGGCAACCAGATCCAAGGCCGTTCCTGGAATATCTCGAACCATGTCCTTGTACATCTCGTCAAGCTTGGTTCGATGAACGGTTCACTCCAATTCCTGGAATGCAAGGGTGGTGGGGAAGGTGGCGTTGGTGGTCCAACCCAAGGCCGTGTGCTCTTTCAACTTTTCCTTCCATTGATGGTTGGGAACAGAAATGCTGCTATTCTCATGAATCTGGACAGTGGGGAGCACTGCTTGTTGGTCATCCKAACGGAGGCTACTCGCACAGATACAGTAAAACCAGGAAGTCGGGAAGCCATATAARTAGTGATGTCATGGGCTACAAATATTGTTGTGTGGATTCAAATCTTTGCCATCTTTTCTATCAAAGAAGGCCTTCGGATGACTGTAGGCTTTAYGAGCCGCCAGAATGGAGTAAGTACAATGTGCATTGGTCTTGATACCAACCTTGAAATAAAACAATTCAGAAGAATCGACTTGCATACGGGTCAATGTGAACGATCTTTTTTTTKCTGCTTATCAATACTTAGGTTGGATGTGGGGCGATCCACACTTCGTTACGTTGGACGGCAAAAACTACACTTTTAATGGCCTTGGTGARTACGTTATGATCGATGCTAAAAACGGATTCTTTGAGCTCCAATCAAGAACACGACTAGCGAAAGGAGAAGGAACAGCGACGATATTCTGCGCAGCTGTGATGAAGGAGTACAATTGCAGCACTGTGCAGCTC